AGTTAAAATTAGGTGATACTGGGGGGTGGGGGAAGAATGTGTATGGGAATTAGACATAACAACATAACAACATCCGTAGTGCTTTTCAAGGTTGTTTGAGATAAGAGATGATAAGAAATGGCCGGTTGGAGAACTGGAGGGAAGGTCTGCATTTCAAACTAATTGGAGAATGTGATTTATGACTGTTAACTAGAGGAGGGAATTGTGCTTTGATGCTATGTGTTTAGGGGAGGGGAATCCAGATTTCAGCTTTGACCATGTACGTACCGATGCCATGCTACTCGAATAAAGATTCTTTAAAGTAACCAATGCCTCGACGTTTTTTGAAGAGTTTCATCTGTCGGAACCATGACACATTGGTTAAGTGAATTTTGCCAAATTTTATGACTTTCTTGCCACATTTGTTAAGTGAATTGTTGCAGTCGTTTAAGTTAGTCCCACGGGTGTCAAGATAATCTGGCTTCTCTCCATTGGTTTTGCTTGTCAGACGGTCGCAAAAGGAGTTCACTGATACTGGGGCACTGCAACTATCATAAATATGAGTCAAGGCCAAGCAGCATGGTGGAGCAGTGGTTAGAATGCAGTATTGCAGGCCAACTCTGCTCACACTGCCAGGGTTTTAATTCCTTTGATCCTGACTGACTCAGGGTTTGCCTCAGCCTTCCGAGGTAGGTAAAATGAGGACCCAGATCATTGGGGGGGGGAAGATGCTGACTCTGTAAACTGCTTAGAGGGGGCTGTAAAGCACCGTGAAGTGGTATATAAGTCTAAGCGCTATTGCTATCTAAAATTTGTTATGGTTCCGACAGATGAAACTCTTCGAAAGAACTTCGAGGCATTGTTTACCTTAAAGAATCTTTTATTCGAGTAGCATAATATCGGCACTTACATAATCAAAGCCAAAAACTGAATTCCCCTCCCCTGAACACATAGTATCAAAGCACAATTCCCTCCTCCAATTAACAGTCATAAATCACATTCCCCAATTAGCTTGAAGCGGAGGCTTCCTCTCCAGTTCTCCAGCCCGGCCAATTCTTTATCAGCTCTGGTTACAATAACCTTGATTCTCACGCTAGGTTTAGTGTTGTTATGTCTAGATGAACTCTCATTCTCATCTCCCCCCCCCAGCATCATCCAATTCTAAAAGCGAAAGGGAAAAAGATGGCTACATTTCCATCTGTTGTCAATGCAAAACATCCGATGTTAGCAGCGTTGGACAGATCAATTGTTAAGTTAGTAACACAGAGTTAAGTGAATCTGGCTTCCCCATTGACTTTGCTTGTTGAGAGAGTTGCAAAAGGTGATTGGAGGACTCCAGACACTGCAACTGTCATAAATATGAGTCAGTTGCAAAGCATCTGAGTTTTGATCACGTGACTCTGGGGATGCTGCAACGGTCGTAAGGGTGAAAAACGGTCCTAAGTCACTTTTTTTCCAGTGCCGTTGTAACTTCAGACGGTCACTAAATGAAACTGTTGTAGGTTGAGGACTACCTGTATAGAAAGTCATATTTTCTGTTAAATTGGGGGGGGGTCTATTCTCTAGAATAGAAGTCCCCAACCTTTGGGGCACCAGGGACCGGTTCCGTGGAGAGAGGTTTTTCCGTGGACCGGAGGGTGCGTGGTTTTATGTGCTGCCTGCATCCCACAGATGGGGCTTTGCTTGTTTGCGTGGACCGGTTGCTGGCATGCTGCAGCCCAGTACCGGTCCACAGACTGGGGGTTGGGGACCCCTGCTCTAGAAGACAAAGTTCAGAAGCACAGTATGATAGCAATATTCCAATATCTCAGGGACTGCCATAAAGAAGAGGGAATCAAGCTATTCTCCAAAGCAGCTGAAGGCAGGACAAGAAGCAACAGATGGAAACTAATCAAGGGGAGAAGCAACCTAGAACTAAGGAGAAACTTTCTGAGAATGAGGACAATTAATCCGTGGAATAACCTGCCTCCAGAAGCGGTGAATGCTCCAACACTGGAAGTTTTCAAGAAGAGACTGGACAGCCATTTGTCCGAAATGGTGTAGGGTTTCCTGCCCGAGCAGGGGGTCGGATTAGATGACCTCCAAGGTCCCTTCCAACTTTACTACTATTATTATTATTACATATTGATTGGGGGAAGGTGGGAGATGGATCTGTACTCTTAATACATTGGCACTGCGCCACAGCAGCACCCCAAATGCTTGGTCAAATTGCTTGGAAAGAGCACGGTTTTCATCCTTTCGGAAATTTAGTCAATGGAGGCCTGGCAAAGAGATCTGAAATCCCCACAAACTGACAGGCTGTCAAGGCTTTATTGAAAGAGAAATGGGAAGAAGGCAAAGAGAAGGAATAATCTCTGGCTTTCTGCCTCCAGAGAAATCAGCCAGAGGTTTGGGAAGCTGGTTTCTTAAGAAGGGAATCATTTTATTTTTAGCATTTGAGGAAGATTGATGAGGGGTTTTTTGGAAAAGGAAATTTCGAATAAAAGCCAGGAGAAGCACAAAGCCCTGGATAGCGTTTACCTAATGCAGTGTAATAATAATGATGATGGTGATGATGATGATGATAAAGTTGGAAGGGACCTTGGAGGTCATCTAGTCCAACCCCCCCCTGCTCAGGCAGGAAACCCTATACCATTTCGGACAAACGGCTGTCCAGTCTGTTCTTAAAAACTTCCAGTGTTGGCGCATTCACCGCTTCTGGAGGCAGGTTGTTCCGCTGGTTAATTGTTCTCACTGTCAGGAAGTTTCTCCTTAGTTCTAGGCTGCTTCTCTCCTTGATTAGTTTCCATCCGTTGCTTCTTGTCCTGCCTTCGGGCGCTTTGGAGAATAGCTTGATTCCCTCTTTTTTGGGGCAGCCCCTGGGATACTGGAAGGCTGCTATCCTGTCCCCCCTCGTCCTTCTCTTCATTAAACTAGACATCCCCAATTCCAGCAACCGTTCTTCATATGTTTTAGCCTCCAGTCCCCTGATCATCATTGTTGCTCTTCTCTCTACTCTTTCTAGAGTCTCAACATCTTTTTTAGATTGTGGTTCTCAGCCTGTGGAGATGTGAAAGAGAATTTACTTAAGTTCCAGATGGGGCCTGACTTTCCCTAGCGTACACAAGAAGCAATTATGCTTCTTTTTAATGCCTGAATGGCAATGTAGCACAGGCAATCAAATGCAAACCCTCAATCCAAAGTAACAGAGCCTCCCTCAGCCCTTTCTCTCTTGGAGGGAGGTCATGTTTGCTATCTCTATTGTCCTTTCTGAAAGAGAGTATGAACGGCCTATATATCTTGAACAGCTCAGGTAGTCTTACAGACATACAACAGCAAAAGTACAGTCAACACTCCGTGAAATGTTATTAAGATAAACAACAGTTCAGTTTGAAAAAAATACATCCTTTAAACCAGTGGTCCCCAGCCTTTCTAGCTCTGTGGACAGACAATGAAGGGGGGAAGGGGATGGTTTTGGGCATACATGCGCAGTGCAGAAATGTAGCTTTATGCATGCATGCGCTCGACCTCCACTTGACAGTTCCCAACAGGCTGCGGCGTGGCACTGGGACACAGTCTTGGGGTTGGGGACCTCTGCTTTAAACAATTAAACAGTGGAAATCTTTAACTGATAATTAGGAGGAGGCTTGTTTCAACCTGGCAGTGTTGTGGCTCAGTGGTTAAGATGCTGGGTTTATCAACTAGAATGGTTCAAGACCTGAGCACCATGAGACAGGGTGAGCCCCCGTTCTCGCCCCAGCTCCTGCCAGCCGAGCAGTTCAAAAGCAGCCAAATGCGAGTAGATGAATAGCTAACCACTTCGGTGGGAAGGTAACAGCACTCCGTGACCTCATGCTGGCCACATGACCATGGAAATGTCTTCGGACAGTGCTGACTCAATGGCCTTGAAACAGAGATGAGCACCGTGTCAATGCTGCTAACATCGGATGTTCTTGCTTTGACAATATATGGAGATGCAGCCATTTTCCTTAACTTGTGTGTTACTTTTAGAGTTAGAATTGGATGATACTGGGAAGGGGGGGGAGGAAAAATGTGTATGGGAATTAGTTAAACATAACAAGAGCGTAGTAGTGTGTGGATTCAAGGTTGTTTGAAATAAGAGATGATAAGAAATGGCCAGGTTGGAGAACTGGAGGGAGAGCCTGCATTTCAAACTACTTGGAGAATGTGATTTATGACCGTTAATTAGAGGAGGGAATTGTGCTTTGATAATATGTGTTCAGGGGAGGGGAATTCAGATTTTGGGTTGGACTATGTACGTGCCGATGCTATGCCACTCAAATAAAGATTCTTTAAGGTAAACAATAGGCTTCTCACCAATACCACAGTGAGTCACTTAGGACCATTGTGCGCAGAACAGAATTAACAAGGATACTGTCAAGCCCTCTCAGGCTCGACATATGAGACGGGGGGAAGCCAGCATAGAAGCCAAAAGCTACCGGGTTGGAAAACACGAGCCCGACATCCTCCGACGTTGCCTGAATCATGGACAGTCCTGCGGAACTGCAAACGCAATGCCTGTGATGAAGAAATAACACGCATGCGCAGAAGAACTGTAGACCGCCAATCAGCTGTTTGGCAGATAGCCGAATCACAGCTGACGAGCGTGATTTCCAGAGGAGGCATAAGAACTTTAATGCATGAGAGCTTTAAGAGAACGGAGGGGTTGTAATGTTAATTGTGAAAGAATGCTGGCTGGATAGGGATAGGGTGAGACACGGGAGGGTGGATGGGTGGAGTTTACATTTCACTAGGTGCGGTCGTGGTTAACAGGGAATTGATTGAAGGGTGGGGTTAATTTGGACATGTGTTTAAATAACGCGGGGAGGCAGTAGCTCCCAGTGCAAACTTTGTTTTGACAACGAGCCTTACTGCTTGAGGTCTTTGTTATCGTTTCACTTGAGATCCTAATTAAATCGTTGTTACCCGGGAAGATTTGCGTTCTTGAGCTTCATTCACCGTGGTTCCGGTAAGGATCGCTGACAGATACCTAACTGACTTTCTTGGCTCCTTCTTCCAAGGTGACGACCCTCGTGAACACCAGCAACAAGGGGCCTTCGGGGAAAAAGAAAGGCCGGTCCAAGAAGGCCCACGTCCTCGCGGCTTCGGTTGAACAAGCCACTCAGAATTTCTTGGAGAAAGGGGAGCAGATTGCGAAAGAAAGCCAAGACTTGAAGGACGAACTGGTGGCCGCCGTGGAGGATGTGCGCAAACAAGGTGCGTACCTGGTGAAGGGCAGAAATCTGATCAGAATTAAGGGCAGGGATGACAGGTAGCCCTTGACTTGCCCTCACCACAATGCAGCCCCAAATTTCTGTTGCTAAGCAGGACAGTTGCTAAGGGAGTTGTGCCCCGGTTTCGTGACTGTTCTTGCCACAGTTACTAAACGAGTCACTGCAGTTGTTCAGTTAGTAACATGACATCTGGCTTCCCCATTGAATACTAATACTAATACTAATAAAGTTGGAAGGGACCTTGGAGGTCATCTAGTCCAGGGCTTTTCAACCTTTTCACCCATTTTACCACTTTTAGGATGGCAACATCCGAGTACCACCAGTCGCCTAGCAAGGTGTCAAAAACCTGATGACCAAAGAAAGAAAGAAAGAAAGAAAGAAAGAAGTGATAAAGTACAGGTAGTCCTCAATTTACAACAGTTCGCAATTTCCAAGTGTCCGCATGTTGAGCACGCGACCGTGGGGATGCGGCAGTAGTCATTAGCGTGAAAAATGGACATACGTCACTTTTTTCCAGTGCCATTCAATTATCATTCGGGTTTGCCAGTATTCGTTTTGCGAATGGTCACTAAATGAACTGTTGTAAGCAGAGGACTGCCTGTAGTAGCAACAGCACTTAGACTTACATATCACTTCACAGCCCTCTCTAAGCTTTTTACAGAGTCAGCCTATCATCCCCAACAATCTGGGCTCTCATTTTACTGACCTCGGAAGGACAGAAGGCTGAGTCAACCTGGAGCCGGTCAGGATCGAACTGCTGGCAATGGGCAGAGTCAGCCTGCAATACTGCATTCTAACCACTGCGCCACCAGGGCAACGGAATGGAATGGAATAGCAATAGCAATAGCACTTCGACTTATATACCCTCTAACAGAGTCCACATATTTTCCCCAACAATTTAGGTCAGTGGTGGTGAACCTTTGGCACGGGTGCCAGAGGCGGCACTCAGAGCCTTCTCTGTGGGCACGCGCGCCGTCGCCCCAGTCCTGGGCCTTCAGCTGGGTTTTATAAAACCTTTTCGCTTTAGGCCTCCGCCGCTGTGTGCAAAAAAAAAAAAGGTTCAATCAATCAGTCAATTTCAACTTCTCGCAGTAAAAAAAAAAGATCTTGCAAAGTTGGAATTGATTGATTGAACTTTTTAGTCCCACCCAGTCTGCCGTTACCACTGCAGCCACGCCCACCCAATGGGCCACACCCACCCAGCACTCGACGATGCATAAGTGGGTTTTGGGTTGCAGTTTGGGCACTCGGTCTCTAAAAGGTTCGCCATCACTGATCTAGGTCCTCATTTTACCAACCTTTGAAGGATGGAGTCAACCTTGAACCGGTCAGGATCGAACTGCTCGCAATGGGCAGAGTCAGCCTGCAATGCTGCATTCTAACCACTGCGCCACCACGGCTCTTAATTGTAATACCAAGTCTATGAACATATCACACATTGAATGTTGTCTATTAGGCTTTGGGGTAGTTCTTAAGAATTAATGGAGCAGTCTATTGAGAATTGCTCTGTACTCCCTCTCTTTCTACGTGCTTTCCTCTAGCGCAGGGGTCCCCAATCCCCAGTCCGTGGACCGGTATCGGGCCGTGGCATGCCAGCAACCAATCCGCGCAAACAAGCAAAGCCCCATTCGCGGGATGCAGGCAGCACACAAAACCTCACACCCTCCGGTCTGTGGAAAAACCTCTCTCCACGGAACCAGTCCCTGGTGCCCCAAAGGCTGGGAACCTCTGCTCCAAGGGACCTGTTGGAGAATTTGGGATGCTTTTGGAAACAAACCCACTTTTGAAAGACGTCCGGCAGTTTGTTTGTTTGTTTGTTTGTTTGTTTGTTTGTTTATTCATTTATTTGTGAGACTTATATACCGCTTTAAGTGCAAGCACTCTCTAAGCGGTGTACACCAGTAAGCAATGTATATATATTTTACATTGCCCCCAACAATCTGGGTCCTCATTTTACCTACCCCGGAAGGATGGAAGGCTGAGTCAACCTTGAGCCGGTGAGATTTGAACCGCTGACCTGCTGAACACAGTCAGCTAAAGTGGCCTGCAGTACTGCACTCGAACTGCTGCGCCACCTCGGCTCTTGTTCCTGGCCTCTTGTAGCTCTTTCTCATAGGAACGGATTCTACGCATTATTCCTGTCAAATCTATTATCACAGTTGTCAGCTGGGAAAGAATAGCTTAGCCACAAGTGTTTTATAGAGTTAATCACATGTTTCAAGTTAGGTTTAATTATAGTCCCAGTAACATATTTCACGGCATCGATTAATTTTTATTTACATATGTTTCGATTTATTCCTTTGCCCCGCCTTGACTGAAGCTCGCGGGCTTTCAGCGAGTGACTGAGCAAAAGGAGAAGAGAGAAACCCACTGAGTGGCCATCTTTACGAGCCCGTCTTATAACTTGGAGCCTTCTTTTACAGATCGTCCTTACTTGGGACTGTCCAGTGAGGCGTTAACGCAAAGCGGTCGCTCAGGGAAACAGCGGTTTTGCTTTTTTCCGGACGTTGGCTTCCCTTTGCTTTACAGACCTGCAAAGGTGGTTAACGTGAAGATTGGTCTCAACGTTGCTTTTTCAACACCCCCCCTCCCCCCCGGTGACTGTGAACAGCGAACAGTCCTGACAGGAAATGAAATAAAACAAAACGAATTGAATTGAATTGAATTGAAATGAAATAAAATAATAAAATAAAATGAAATAAAATATTCCTCCTCCTCCTGCTCCTCCTCCTCTTCCTCCTTCCTCCTCTTCCTCTTCTTCCTCCTCTTCCTCCTCCTCTTCCTCTTTCTCCTCCTGCTCTTCCTCTTCTTCCTGTTCCTCTTCCTCCTCCTCTTCCTCCTCCTCTTCCTCCTCCTGCTCTTCCTCTTCCTCCTCGTCCTCCTTCTCCTCCTCTTCCTCCTTCCTCCTCTTCCTCTTCCTCTTCCTCCTGCTCCTCCTCTTCCTCCTCTTCCTCTTCCTGCTCTTCCTCTTCCTCCTCCTGCTCTTCCTCCTGCTCCTCTTCCTCCTCTTTCTCCTCCTCTTCTTCCTCTTCTTCCTCCTCCTCTTCCTCCTGCTCCCTCCTCCTCCTCCTGCTCTTCCTCTTTCTCCTCCAGCTCTTCCTCCTCCTCTTCCTCCTGCTCCTCCTCTTCCTCCTCCTGCTCTTCCTCTTTCTCCTGCTCCTCTTCCTCCTCGTCTTCTTTCTCTTCCTCCTCCTCTTCCTCCTCCTGCTCTTCCTCTTCTTCCTCCTGCTCTTCCTCTTCCTCTTCCTCCTCTTCCTCCTCCTCTTCCTCCTTCTCTTCCTCCTCCTCCTCCTCCTCTTCCTCCTCTTCCTCTTCCTTCTTCTCTTCCTCCTCCTTCTCCTCCTCCTCCTCTTCCTCCTCCTCCCTCGTCCTGCTCCTCCTCCTCCTCTTTTTCTATCGAACTGATAACAGTTCCTGTGGCTAAAGAGCCTGCTCAATTTAACTGTGCCACTAGTGGACTAGGATTAATGTTTCTGTAACTAATTTTTTTACACGGAGGTGGGTGGGAAATATTTATAAGCAGTTCTTGCAATTTGTTATCTGTTTTCATTTGTTACTCAGCTTTGGCCGGATTCAGTCTGCGAATTATTACGTGCTAAATGTCACTCTATGCAAATATTTTCTTGTTAGTCCTCTCAGGTCCTCTCCAAACCCATTAATTTTTTTACAGCTCTCAGAAAATAGGGATTGTGAAAGGCCGTATATTCTCTTCTCTGCTCCTGGGTGATATGAAGCACTTGGCCTGAATGAACAAACGCTGCGTCAAAATCTTAGAAAATGTATTGCATTTTTACCTTTTCCCGTAACGTTTCTAATATTCTTACGCGGTCGGCAGTAAGGTGGTTAAAATAGAAAGGAAAATTTAAAAAAAAATCAAAACCAGCTTTACATAGCTCAGTTTCTATCACCTGCCCTCCTAAATTAATGTATTCTCTCCTACTGTGATTTTTTAAATGTGAATTAAAATCATCTAGTCCAACTCCCTGCTCAGGCAGGAAACCCTACACCATTTCGGACAGATGGCTGTTCGGTCTCTTCTTAAAAACTTCCAGTGTTGAAGGAGGGAGGGAGGGAGGAAGGAAGGAAGGAAGGATAACAGAATAACAGAGTTGGAAGGGACCTTGGAGGTCATCTAGTCCAACCCCCTGCTCAGGCAGGAAACCCAACACCGTTTCGGACAGATGGCTGTCCAGTCTCTTCTTAAAAACTTCCAGTGTTGGAGCATTCACTGCTTCTGGAGGCAGGTTGTTCCACTGGTTAATTGTTCTCACTGTCAGGAAGTTTCTCCTTGGTTCCAGGTTGCTTCTCTCGATGAGTTTCCATCCGTTGCTTCTTGTCCTGCCTTCAGGCACTTTGGAGAAGAGCTTGACTCCCTCTTCTTTGGGGCAGCCCCTGAGATACTGGAAGGCTGCTATCATGTCACCCCTAGTCCTTCTCTTCATTAAACTAGAAATCTCGACAAAGATTTACCAAAGATGGCTGTGTCTCCCCTTCATGGATCCCGATTAATCATTGGGGACCAAGATGATGATGGCATTTGAATCTCTTCTTCAGATTTCACAGGACTTGTTCCGTCTTGACAAGATCTCCTTTGAATCAGAGAGCAGATGTAGAGATGACCAGGCTGGGCCTGAGGGAAGGGTCAAACGTGCCATCAGTCTTGAGTCCCTCCACACCTATAAGAGATCTAAGTCCAGCCCACCTTGAATTCCATTGAGTCTTCTGTACCACCAACTCGCTTTGACCATTAGTAGTTCGGATCTTTGTAGAGAGCTTTAGTGTGGAATAAACATCTATCTATCTATCTATCTATCTATCTATCTATCTATCTATCTATCTATCTATCTATCTATCTATCTATCTATCTATCTATCTATCTATCTATCTATCTATCTATACGTGAACTGCCTGGACTCTTGAATGATACCAGATTTGGAATTCAGATGTGCAAATCCTTGAGATGCGCATCGTGGATAAGGGTAA